CTGGATTTGTCACCAAAGACCTTTAAGTTTGAAGAGATCGATTTAGAGTAGAAGTGCATACATACATGCGTTATACAACTGCGAATATTCGGTACACTAGTGTCATAATCAACATAGGCGTTGAAAGAAATCGACTAGTTTCAATAACTCGGAAGATGCGGTGAGAAAAGTTTAGCGTCAATCTCCTTAAGGCTCTTAGAAATAGTATGACATCATCGATTATCTATACACTAATACGACATAAACCAGTGCTGCAATAAAACTGTTAATTCCGAGAATTAGAGTAATCAATGATAATACTAAATACACGTTACTCCCAATATGTGATCAAATAGGAAAGCCAAAGAATCAGAATCTAGCACAGTCTCAGTTACAATTACCAAAGAACAAGTGAGCGGCATGATTAATGGTGACCACAAACGATCACAAACTTTACAGTTTCTAGGCTCAAATATGATGTATAAATTCCCAAAATTATTATGCGTACCACAGAGAATATGTTGAATCTAGAACATACACTAGTGAGCGATTTTTACTTGTCCTTTGGGTTCCTAGTGGAACATAGGGATTCAGTAACACATCACCATCTCACTCTCCAGTCTTCTCAACCTGGCTCGACCACTACCCACAGCCCTTCATTTCTTCCTAACACCATCACCTCCATGTCACCCTCAAACGTCCAACTCGTCGATTTCCATATGGCTTCCACTGAAAGGCCTGGCATCTGATGTCCTCAAATACTCTTTTCAGTTTATGCCCGATCCATAACCACTTTCTTCTACAGGTTTGTTGGGGGATACGCTTCTTGGTCGGTCGGTTCGTTACCCACCACAGTGAGTTCCTCGTTGCTCATTCTTATCATCCTGGCCATCTGATCTGATCTCATCTTCAGTATCGAGTGAGTGTAGGTGGCAGCCGTTGTTGTAATGCATGTCTGTAGTTTGTTAGAAATGTTTTGCGTAACGCGCCAAGTCTCTCAACAATCACATAGAAGCACTGACTTACTTCACTGACATTCGTGGTGAAGTTCAGGATCATGTTCACGCTTTATGTTGAGTGCATTGAAATGCAGCAGATCTCCACACTGATTTCAGATTAATGCATGAAGGCCTGTCTTCCTGTCTTTCCGATCCTGGCTGCTTTGATATCCTCATCTATGCATCAGTAACCACCTGTAGTTGAAACAAGGCTGTCTAGGTAGGTGAGAGAGGCTACTTCCTTTAGATTTATCCCATTGTTGTTGGTTGGGTATCTTGATCACCTCTGTCTTCTACTACGTTCACCTGAAGGAAGTCCCGTATTCGCTGCCCTACCTCTTCCACTAACTTGTTGGTGAGCTATAAAGACCACAAATCGTCCTTCAACATCTCTTGCTAGTAAAACGTTTCGTCACCCATTTCAATGCACGTGGATGATTATGGATATGAATTAAATTTCAACAATGTAGAAATTTTGGACAGAGGAAACATAGAATGTCAGAGAATTTCTAGAAGCTTATCATTCAGGTTAGTCACCAATCAATAGATGTATAAACATAGATCCGATCTACTAACCACTAAGAAAGATGACAAACGACAGAAAGGTCAGAGGTGAAGCAGAGGAACAGGCAACAGGAAAGTCTATGCAATCGATGATACAACAATCGAAGGAAACAACCAATCACAGACCACATCGTCAGAGCAAGCTACTAAATCACTCACGAAGAGATATTGACGACTCACTTCACACTGAAGTTAGTGCTGATGATGTCGTATAGCAAGGCGAAGAAAGTTTCACGATTAAACAATCCAGCTCAGAAAACACAATACAACCGAGACCATCCGCCAGAGCTACAAATATCCTCCATTATTTCAAAACACAAAATCAACGCAAAACGTCGCACGCAAGTGCATTGTCCCAAGCTGCTACACCTCACAGTAATATACAAGAAACAGGAAAGACTGCTATAAAAGAAGACAAATTTGTATGGGAAGATGCCATTTAAAATGATGTTTAGTTAGAAAATACAATCTTAGGAAAACACCAGTGATTACATCTGGGCAATTCTGAACGATTTTCAGTCTTGTCAGCCACTGATCCCTATCATCTCAGGAACCCTAGACAAAGAGTCTACACCTCCCTACATGGTGCAGGCTTACAATCAGAATTCATACACTGGTGCCGTGTATTGATCTCGCCACCCCGGACCCACCTACCTCTTCTAGCATGGCATGTAGAGGTAGGTAGTGGCTCGATATACGTAACCCATACCCAGGTTACCTCAGTAACCGAAGGTTGGCAACCTCATTGATCGATTTCCCTGTCATCCCTGGAATCCTTCGCCTGATATGAACATTGTTCATGCAGTGATTCCATCATACGTGAGCAATACTACGAAGACACCTGTAATCAAAAACATGTAACCATTTCATATCTTCCATTTTCAACGGTCATGTGTCAGAACCGTAAAACAGGACAGAACGGACTAAGATGCAATACAGCCGTCCTTTAACAAGCAGTTTGATATCTCACCAGTCGGCGTCAAAGATGACATAATTTAGCAAACGCCAAACGGGTCTTCTGTATACTAGCCGAGATTTCGTCACCTGCAAGCTCATCCCAGCTGAAGGTACTCCATAAAAAGTCGAGCGGTCGACACATTTAGTCACTTTACTACCTAAACTAAAAATAGGCGTAGTTGCAGATCAGTCGTGGGGCATCGCATTAGACAGGTCCAAAACGCATGTCAAACGCGTTCACAAGACCTTCATTTTATCAGCGTATTCATCTAAGAGAGAAGTGTTATCTGGGTACTCCATGTCAACTAGGTGACCTCCAGAAAGTAGATAAATCCCTGTGAAGTCAGATTTACTTATGACCACTAGTACGTTTATAACGAAGTTGGACAGGAATGGTGATATCCGGCTTCCCCGATAGACACCACCGATTCTCGCTGTCACTGACTTTCCTTATCGTTCTTTCGACTGAAGACCTAGTATCACTCGAGGCTTCCTCAGGATGAGCACTGTCACGTACAGATAAATGCTCAGCCAACTCTTCTTTAAATACGTACTTGACGTCTTCATCTTCCAATCGAGCAAACATAGTTCACTACCGCCTGTTTTCTGAGACCAGTTAGACGCAGATGTGCACGTGTCCGTACTAGCGCGCGATCGTATTCCAAACAAATACTCGAAAATGAGTAGAAATCTCCAACGATAGCTTTTAATTTCTGCGGACACCAAGTGAAACAGTATCTCTCTTCATGCTTGAAGTTAGCAAGGGCCAAAAACAAGTGAATGTCACAACAAAATAGCAACAAATGGTCACCGTTGTCGGTTCGCTAGAATGGGATTCCGCAAATACCCCAAAGACGTCTTTCTGCTTAGCTGAGTTTACGGGGAGCGTTGAAGTCGCCTGGCAGTATCACTATATCTAGGCGTTTTGCTTCATGTGGCAAAGTTGACAGCTTCTCATAGAATTAACTTTTCGCAACATCTGAACTGCAGTCGGTGAATGCGTAGGGAGAGATTACTAATCTCATGATTCGTCCTACTACTTACAGATCCATTCAGTCAAACAAAATATGGCTGTTGATAGGTGTCCAGCCAAACTCAATTTCTGCCCTACAGTTCAGTGTCATGCCTACACCGGCGAATCCACGAGAAATAGCCACTGGATCTCCAGACACTCGTAAGGTGAACCTTGGAGGTTCATGACACTGGCAGGTGAGGTCAAGTTGAAAACCACACTTAAGTGCAAGATACATAGCATACATCTACAACTCAAAATTCCAGAGTCGTGACGAGCGATGCTTGCTGTCCGACTTGCCATACAGTTCGGACCGTGAAAGCTCCAATATGAAACTGTCAGTAGGGCCTTAGGGATGGTATTTCAATAGCTTGGATCGTTGGCAGTGGACGCAGAGTGAGAATTTGTCAGAGGCTTAATAATAGTATCAGGAGGTGAAGGCAAAGGGGGATGACAGTAGTATGACTTTTGCCCTCGAACTCCCAGTGTAGCATAGTAATTTACACGACAGAGGCAACTGCTTTTCATCCTACCAAAATCCAACAAAACTTTCCGGCACGGTAGGAGCTTGAGAGAATGAATGTTCTAGTCAGGGTACATTAATGAGTTACTACAATACATAAGCCTGACCATCACATCAAGGTAACATCTACTATTTCGAAATTCACTTTATTTCAGTTCATAGACCAAATACATATTAAAATACCACACTGTGAAAAACACTTAATGCATGAGCGGTTTACAGTGGTACCCAACAAGTGGTCGAACTCAGGATGCCAGCTGAGGACGCTATGTCATGATTTGACAAAAGTTGGAAAATGTGAACCACTGAGAACCGACCCAGTGGCTGATTGGTTAACGCCTTCGCCGTGAAACCCGAAGGCCCTGAGTTCGATCTCTAGCCGGGTCGTGCTGCTGAGGAGTCCCATACCAGGGCGAAACAGATATCCGGTGTTCCCAAATTTTAAATGGTACTCCAATTGATATCAGTCCATGATGAATACTGCCTCTATAAACTATGTTATTACTGGGTGATGACTAAAGGTGAAATGAAAATTTGGACCTCGGCTGGACTCGAACCAGCGACCACTGGGTTTCCCGCCCGATGCTCTACCAACTGAGCTATACGGACGGATTCAAACCTTCGACCAGTAACAACACTAGTCTGCCAAACCACGGCTATCTCAGATAATTAAAAAGGATCTAAACTGTATATTACTTTAAAATGAGTTATGTGAAGAGATGAGACAATGTACCACTTAAATGTATTTAAAGGTCAGCAGATATCTTAGTGTTTAGTAGCTCTGTGGTAATATTTTATCAGTACTACGAAAACCAAAATAAGTAAAGCATAGTTTGATGTTAACAGACCGTCATAAATACACTTTCTCCATTTTATCATGATCAGCATTGTGAATAAATCCAGTCTTGAGGTAACATTCGAAAGGTAAATTAACAACAACAACAACAACAACAAAAAGGCAAAATTACGTCATTACTGATCAAATATCGGTATATTACTTAAGCATATTTATAACTTGAGTTGTAAGATTGAAACGGAAAAACAAATCAAAGGAAAAAATTTCGCTGAAGACAACACAAATAATCAAGCAATTTTTCCGATAACAGGGAGAGAAAAAAAGCACAACAAAGCGTGGAAGAAAAATCAGATATTTTTGACTGTTGTAAAAAAAGAACGCAACAACATTTCGATATAATATGGTAGACCAAAGTAAAAAGCGAAGAAATATGAGATGTAAGTAAATTAAAGCGAGATGGAATGAAATAGGCTCTATAGGGAAGCAGGATTTTCTGACAGTTTAACAACTATACAGATAGAAAAAGATAAGAAAGGGAAATAATACTAAAAAGTAACACAATACAACTATTCGATAGAAAATGGACACGGACACACACACACACACGTCAATGAGCAGCAAAGGAAATACAAGTTATGCTTAAGGAAGGAACAAAACAATTGCACGCTTAAATGAACTCACAGTAGGGGGGAGGAGAATACAATGACTTATTGAAAAGCATTAACTAAAAAAGCTAGAAAGTGTAATCATCAGTGCAAGACAGCTGTGTATCATGAGTAAACAAATAAAGAGGTGCTCAGTTTCACCTTATATGTGTAAAAGTAAACATTAGAATAATAATAAATAATAGGAAAGGAGTGGATAATTCTTTACAAATGATCTCAGTCACTTGGATGAAAATAAGGAAGATAAAATGGAAGGCGAAGTAATCTTTCTATGATAAAAGAGATTACTACAAGTAAAACAATTGATTTTCATCAAGGGAAAGCGAAGCATATTAATTGGTTGATGAATATAACTTACAGTTTTATCAAGAAAATTCGTTAAATTTTGCACAATATCAAAATGGAATATAACCAAACTAAAGAAAGTAAACACTAATCTATTAGGTGTATACACTTATAAGCGTATGATACTTAGATGTGAACATTGACAAATGTGTGTGCACAGAAAATGAAGATTACCTACTTATAACTATTATCATCACCTACCTTACCTTTGAAGGATTATAGGAGGCAATAGAGTGAACAATTAAGGCACAGCCACTCTCCGAAATCTGTTGAATGATGTGGATGTTTCATCGAATATATTGATAGACAAATAGGTACACAAATGTAGGTGTGCGGATGTGTGTGTGTGTGCAGCATGCAGCAACACCAACACATAAGTGTACATATACCTTATTATTATGAGGACTGTAAATCGTAAGGTGTCAATGACTGAGTTATCTATATTATCATCAATGATTACATTCATTTGCTCTTTGATTTATCTTTAGATTTCAAAGAAAATGAAGGAAGTTTGAAACGTCTTTTCTTCTTTTTATGTTTACCCTAAGAAGAAAATGGAAAATCAAACAAAGAAAGGTATCAAAATGAATCAACTAGTAGTTAGTGACATAGTCTTGAATATAGTGGAATCATTGTATGAGCAATAATGAGGTGAGATGAAGGGTACTAGGCAAGGCAGACAAGTCGGTTGATGAGGTTGTCAATCACCAGTGAATGAGATGACTTGGACATGTACTGTGCATACATACCGAGTCAACACTTACCTCGACATGTCATGCTAGGAGAGGTTGTATTAGGATGAAAAAGGGTTCTGGGTAGGTATCAGACAATAAAGTCCTTAACTATTGATCTAAGCCATGTGGAGAGATGTAGACTACCTGACTGGCTGGGATCCACGAGATGATAAGAATGAGTGATTGACGACTCTTGATGACATGGTTGAAAATCGGTCACAGTGGTGCAGATGTATTCACTTCTGAAGCTTGAATATTTGCACTATTCTTTATCTCCAGATTATTCATTCTCTCGCACTATTTTATCTACATTGCTATCACTCTTTTTCTATCTACCTGTTCTTTGTGTACACTTCTGTAAAGTGTAGCAGCTTTAGGCGATGGACTATTGTGCGAGGTTCTACGCTGATTTTGTCAGTGTTAGTCAGTTAGACCAACGTAGCTGTGATGTACTCTGTTCAATTTCTATCAAATGGATCGTCAAGACAGTAGTCTCGTAATGAGAACATAGTCTCAGCAGACTATAACATGGTTATATACTATGAAGTAATGAAAAGATTATTTTATTAATTCAGTATTTTAATTAAAATTCACTGAAAAATTCGGGATATTTCACAAGTATTTGGAAAATGGATATTATTTTTGTTAAATTTTTCAAAGGTTGGCTATTCTCTCCAATGAACTGTTATTCTTAGTTTTTTGTACGCATCATAAGTAAATTTACAAAGAAAGTGAAAATTTACACGGTTTTTAGGTCCGCTTTCTGTCAGCGCTCTCTCTCTCTCTCTCTCTCGTATTAAGACTTAAAAAGTATACATGAACTTCAGCTAAGGTACAATTTCGTGCTGAATATTTAAGAAATAGCAAGAAAAGACAACCTGTCAATATTATGAATCTATGTACAGTAGATATTGACAATTTGTTGTCACTACTGAACCTACGTCATTACCATCAATGCTAACAAAATTGAACTTCACGAAGGTAATCTTGTGCAAATTCATGCAGTAGGCGATAAGCTACACCTATTGTGTCAGGGCTACTGATACTATCTGGTTATCCAAACCTTGGTAAGTGGAGCGATGTTCGAACTGGATGAAATCCGACTCTCTAAACCAACCAACGAGGCATAACTCCATTGAATTCTTTTAATTAGGTAGGTATAAATTCGTCAGTGCAGTGACTAGTTATGACCAAGTTATGAATACAGCTAACTAGCTTTGAAACAGCTAGGAAAGATCACTTAAGGTAAGTATATGGGAGTGAAAACAACAGGAAAACATTCTCCTGGCAGTATAACAGAAAAAAACTTTAGTACTTTGCACTGAAGCCAATAACAATATTGTATATTTTAGGTTTGAAAAGAGGCAGAGATATCTTGAAGGAAGGTTTCACTTTCAGCTTCAGAAGTGAATACATCTGCACCACTGTGATCGATTTTCAACCATGTCATCAAGAGTCCTCAACCACTCATTCGTATAGTCTCGTGGATCCTCACATGGCTTAGACCAACAGTTAGGGACTTCATCGACTGATCTCATGTCTTACTCTGTCCAATCTGAACCCTATTCCATCCTAATCCAACTTCGCCTAGCATGACTCGGCATGCGCAACATACATCCAAACCGTCTTATTCGCTGCAGGTTCATAACCTCATCAATAGACTTGTCGAAACCTCATTTGAAAACCATGCATGCAAATCAAAAAGCTACATCTGTACTACTCATCATCTCAGAAATATTTAAAGATATTGTATACATAAAATCATTAAAATGGGTATATATAGCAGTGAGTAAAGGATACACAAATAGTGAACAAGGAGACAATTAATTTTTCTAGCCGATTGTGTAAAATTACCCTATGCATATACAGGAATGTAGTAAGAATGATATGAATTTTATTAGCTTACATCACTTTCACTCATATCTTCAGTTCCACTTGGCTCCGATGTTAGTGTACCAGTGGTAGCTGGAGGTGCAAGACGACCTGGGAAGTAAATTGATATAGAAAATGCATATAGTAAAGTTTATATACAGAAAAATTAAATCTTACAAAATGACAATAACCAACTATTATTTATCAATAAAGTTAAAGAACTAGTTGATATTATAAATATCAATGAAATTTTTTAACCGACCAGTAGCTGGACTGTCAATTGGATAGGTTTCAGAATGACGAATCTCTGCAACTCTCAATTCTTTGGATTCATGGAAAGATGGAGATAATTCAGATAATTGTACCAGTGAATGAGTCGCTGAAATTATTCCCATTAACGTATAAGTCAATGACAAGAGAATAAAATTCCAATTTTTCGCCGAATGAATTAGAAACACAAGGAGATCAAAGCAGGCAGGCAGGCAGGCAGGCAAATGCGATAAAGCAGAGAAAACAAAGGTATATATATATATGAAAAATTAGTAATAAAATCAGAAAAATTAAGAATAATTACCAATAATCATGACAGTGGTAATAATGATTACCATTATTATTATGGTTTAAATCAATGGGAGCATAGCATGCAATAAGTCAGATCTAATTCTCGAAATTCTGACTCAAAAAAATAGGCAAACATTGCAGCGATAAGCAGATTCAATGGGCAAGAGAAGTTCACTTAGCATCATACATTTAAAAAAAAAAACGGTGTATGCATGCTACTTAAAAGTTTTATAAAAGAATTAATGATCGAATCTTTGAAAATAAAATTTCACTGAATAAACATGCACAATTATGATTCTAATTCATCGCGATATGTATAATTACAATTAGATATCACAATGTCGTCGGACCAATTTACTGAAATGATAGTAATTCTGACCAATCATGAGATAATATGTGCTTTATTGAATGAAAGAGAAATCTGTAATCCCAGTATTGTTTATCAAACCTATGAAATATGGAGAACTGAAGGTTTCAAAAAGTTGAAAAAGCAATTCAATTTTGAGGTTTGTGGGGATTTATTGATTTCAAGTTGGTATTTATCATGAACTGACATTAAGTGGAGGAACAATGGACAGCTGTTTCATCCTAGTGTAGGACTTTTTTACAAGTGCGCAGCCATGACCTTACCCAGGCAAAGATCGATATCATGACATGCAGGTTCTACGGTTAACCATTGAGCTACTAGGTTGTAACCCAATCGACCACATTCCCTACCTCTGTCAGTTTATGAAATAGCGTGACCTACATATTTAGTGTTGTGGTTGAGTAACTGTCCAAATTAGTTGACTCCACCGGTCACAACTTCTCACTGAGACTTCGGGAATTACCACTTGGAGCCAATCACTAACAAGGACTAGATTAATTCGATTTTTAGGTTTGTGGGGATTTATTGAATTTAGGTTGGCATTGAAGGTCTTGGGTGCATATTGATGAGAACGAAACAGCTGTCCGGTGCTCACAGGTTTCCAATGTTTCTCCAACTGATATCAGGCCATGATGAATACCAATCTGGAAAAAGTAGTTGTCAATACAACTGATATACAGGCTAGAAGACTAAGTGGCGTTCTGTGAAGTAAATTTAGTCTGCGATCCACCATTTACTTAATTGCAGGAGAACAATTCAGGGATTTTCCCTATTTAGATTGAATACATCACAAGTTGGTTAATAAGAATTTTAAAAAGGATAAGGATGATACAAATTCAAATTTATCATATGTTCGAAAGCTGTATGTTTGAAACTGTAAGAATTTATTGAAGCCATTTTACCTGAGAACAAAGTTTTTAAAGGTATACCATAGCCAAAAAAAGATGCATAGATATTTAGATGCAAAAAACACATACATACATACATACATACACACACACATACATACATACATACATACATACATACATACATACATGCATACACACACACACATACATACATACATACATACATACATACATACATACATACATACATGCATACACACACATACATGCATACACATACATGCATACACATACATACATACATACATACATACATACATACATACATACATACATACATACATACATACATACATACATACATACATACATACATACATACATACATACATACATACATACATACATACATACATACATACATACATACATACATACATACATACATACATACATACATACATACATACATACATACATACATACATACATACATACATACATACATACATACATACATACATACATACATACATACATACATACATACATACATACATACATACATACATACATACATACATACATACATACATACATACATACATACATACATACATACATACATACATACATACATACATACATACATACATACATACATACATACATACATACATACATACATACATACATACATACATACATACATACATACATACATACATACATACATACATACATACATACATACATACATACATACATACATACATACATACATACATACATACATACATACATACATACATACATACATACATACATACATACATACATACATACATACATACATACATACATACATACATACATACATACATACATACATACAGTACAAAAATTGACGATGATACGCCACCAGTCTAATACAAAGTAGGACAGAGAGAGCAAACAATACACAATGCAAGGAACATTCTCTACTTGGTCTTTATATATTATGTTATGTCATCAGTGCGATTACCTTCGGAGTTAGGCCAACCATCTCGAGCTACTGAATGATGAAGTCTCTTGAACAGAACCTCTAATGCTTAAATGCAACAGTAGATGCTGTTCTTATTTTTTTTAAAAAACAACTAATCTCTATTTCACAGCACGTTATAAAATGACAGAGTAATTAAGACTTCATTTACAAGCTCATATTTGTTACTATCATTTGTTAATAAAAAATGTAGGGTAGTTAAAGTGGGTTTAAGTTTATAGTAGAATATGCGTTGTTTCTTGTACTTTTATTGATAAACTGTCAATAATTGTCATTGTTATTGTAGATTCAATTAGAAAAGGTCATAACATATGCATTCTATCGGATTATTGTATGCCAAATCTATTCTTCTATCTCTTATATGATGTTGTTAATATACGTAGCGCTTTGGAGGTTAATCTTTATGTGAAAGGAAACCTTTTCCCAGTTTGTCTATACTAACAAAGTCAATCATATGTCCACTTTTAATTGTCTGCATAGCGATGGTGACCACGTTTTGTACACGATTTGTTTTGTTCTCATTCAACCAGTATAATTAACATTACATTCCTAACATTTACTTTGTGTCATCCTAAGAATTGTATCTTCCACTTTAACTACGATATTTTCTACTGAATTTGAAGGTTTAAAACAGACTATAATACCATGAGAGGCGCGCGCTCTTTTAGTCTGTTCAGAAGTACTTTTTCGATATGGTATCGCCATAGATGAAACCCAGGATTTTGTACCTTAATCATTGTTGAATTTGGGGTTTGTGGGGATTTTTTACAGAATTTTCCAGTTGGTATTCATCATGGACTGACATCAGTTCGAGGAACACTGGAACCATTGGATTCCAACCCAGTGGCTCAATGCTAACGCGCCAGCCATGGGACCCTAAGGTTAAGGGCTCGACTTCTGGTGGGGTCGTGGGTGCGCACTGCCGAGGAGTCCCATACTAGGACGAAACAGCTGTCCAGTGCTCCCAGGTTTTCAATGCTTCCCCAACTGATGTCACTCCATGATGAATACTACTTCTAAATTAAAAATCCCCATTCATCTCAATAATACATTACTGTATAGTGCTCATTAGTGATTTGCTTCCAGATGGATGTCAGGAAGTTCTAGTGAGAAGCCGTGACCTGTGGGGTCAACCAGTTGGAAGTGAAGTGGATGCTAACTGAAGACCTTGGGTGACAGTCATGCTATGTTGTGAATTGACAGAAGTTGGAAATTGTGAACCACTGGAAACCAACACAGTGGGTGAATGACTAACGCGTTCACCGTGAAACCTGAAGGTCCTGAGTTCGATCCCTAGCCGGGTCGTGGGTGCCGACTGCTAAGGAGTCCCATACTAGGACGAAACAGTTGTCCAGTGCTCCCAGACTTTCAATGGTTCCCCAACTGATGTCAGCCCGTGATGAATACTACTTCTATATTATTATTGTTATTATTTGTACTTGGCATTTTATTCATATGATCAATAAATGTTGCTTAAAATTTTTTTCAAGTACCCATTTTTATCATTCTGACTATCTGAGATATTCGAAGTTTGGCAGATTAGTATTCATACTGGGTGAAGGTGAAATGAAAATTTGGACCACGGTTGAATTCGAACTAGCGACCACCGGGTTTCAGTTAGTAGGGCATCTCATCGGATCCAACGCTACAGTAGCTTTTATGGTAACTTTCATAATTTGATTGGCAGTTTAAATATTTATCGGAATGCATTAGTTTTCTGTATATCTTTAGGCTAAATACCTTCACTTATTTTGATTTATCTAAACACGCTGTGAATGTATCTATCAAAATAAACTATTATAATAATCAGTAACCGTTGTGTTTAAAAATACTTAATACAAATAAAATGGAATTCAAAAAGTTTACCTGGGCCAAGTTCACTAGCACTTTCTAAATCAGTGGCTCCGCTATCCACAGCTAGTGAATCCATTAGATGTGTGGTATTACTAGGTACCTCTAAAGATGTATCCTGACCTGTAAGATGATGACGAGAATGATCCATTTCAGCAATCAATTCAGGATTATTTTTAAGCTCAATTTCACGCCTATACATTTCTAGCTCTTCATCGGTAATTTTTTCAAATGGATTTTGATGAGAATAAAGACCCTAGAATAAAAAGGTAGAAAAGTGTGCTAAAGTTATTATAATTACACAACTGAAATAAAGATAAAAAGTGTTCTTAACCTAAGCTGAATAGTCTTACAATATTGGGGGGTCAGTTGTTTTCTGAAATATACATAACAGTGTAACTTAAGGGGAGAGATTAATGTGGTAATCTAAACTATATTTAATGATTTAACATAATTAAACTATGAAATCATGGGGGAAAAAAGTGATCAGACAGTCAGTCAGTTCGAAAGGATTTGTACTACTTATCGTACGCAGGAGACACAAGTAAAAAAAAAACAATATGATGGCAACTGGTTTCGAATCTGAGCTATGTTTACTATTGTCTTGAACCATTGGATTGTATAATCTGGTACATTCTGAAAACACCAACACAATTATCCATCATTACTGACCTATAGTAAACAACACGGAATCAGCTTGACGTATATTCAAGCCAGCAAAGCTGATGTTTTCATTCTATGAATGATCTTCATGATGTTCATATAACCGCTAATGTCTTTCACATTTACTCACATGATGTTTCTATCAGATGTAAGAAATTCTTTGGTTCTGTATACTAAATAACTTATGACAAGGAAAATATCACGATACCACTATATGTGACCAGTATTGGCGTATTTCTCACTGGTTTTGGGTACACTATTAGACATAGAACCACTTCATGCCAATATTCCAAGACAGCATTTGAGTTGAAGTGTGGTCTTCTTTGGTTGTTTTTCTTGGAATTTTCTATCTGTGATGCTTTCGAAACAACTCTAAAGTAAGTGCATGCTGGCAGTGTACATGTGCTACTAGAAAAAAGACCTATCAACATATGAGATTCGACACCTAACGAGTGCTCTTAAACCCTCAGCGGGCACTGGATATTCATAAAAAGAACATGACTGAGGCAAGTGAAATGATGTTAAGACTCGTTCATAGGAGCTTCCATGCTGTACTCCACTGAAACAAAGTTTCCTTCCCAAGTGATTCTTCACTGCAACTGAAACTTCCAACCTAACTGGATATAGACAGCTGTTAATGTGAATGCAGTACACTACTACAGCTTTGTTTCTGCAACCTAGTGCAACACCGACACTGGCAACGACGTATAGTTAAGCCACAAACCTCCGGAAACGCGTACATAAAATACACCTATAAGAAATGACATGGCAAATCCACTCAAGTCATCTAACTGAGATATTGCATACAGGTAACTGAGATACATGACATATCAACGGCGATATTTCCTAGGTCTCCCGATTAGATAGCATGCAACGGGGTAGTATGTGTAGGCCAGTCCAACTGCTCCTTAAAGTGCTCCGCTAATCATCTCTCCTAGGAGTGAATCACAGACATATCCTCCTCCGCTAAAGTCTCACTAACTACCGATTTCATACCCTAGTTTACTTGATAAGTCAAAATAACTGTCTACTGTCACCTATTGTCGGTGCTTTCTCCATTACTTTAGTGTTTATAACCCATCACCACTCACGCTCATTGCATAGACCCTTTGTTAGTTTACATTTGAGTTTTTTCTGCTCCTCATTAAGCTCACAGCCTACAGGAATGCCTGCACGCACATCCAATACTTCACAAGAAGCTGAACAGATCCACTGACTCCTTCTTACCTTCTTTTCAGGATCAGCTACAATTTTCAACGCTGTTTTTACACCAAACCGCAGACAGCTCCGCAATTCTTCAGGATAAGTGGCCATGTCATGTTTCGATAGCTGTCTAGTCAGTTCCTCAGTAAAAGCAGCCTCAGTATCCCTATCGACCAGCTGCACTCAGAATGCTTTTGTTGATATAGTTTTTCTACACCCAATTAGGCGCAAAAGGAGGTAGTTTTCCACCAACCCTTTCCAGAGATAACTGACAGAAATATAATTTATCTTTGTTCACTGTTGTGTTGACGCCAGTGGATGCCGTGTCAGACAATTTCTCCATTAATGACTGAAGTTCCCCCTGGTCAAAAAGAGGTAGTTGTCTGAGCAGTTCTAGTAACCATCGATAATTTCTTCGCCTGGCTGAGATTCCGAAAAAGCCACCTGAGTGACTTTACCCTTGACTAAGCCCACCCACTAGGTAGTGAAATCACCTGCTGCGATAACCACATCTGAACGTTTTGCTCTCACTTTCACTAATCTTCTTAGTCCTCGCTGCATCATGGAGTCAAACAACGTAAAGTCGACTGCAATCTAGTCGAGCAGTGCCCTTTCTGCCTTACAAATTAAGGCTGTACTGACACATGCAAGACCACCACAACTAGCCAATGAGTCTCCAGAAACTGCAGGGGAGCATTTTTCAGGCTCACTACATCAGCCTGGTGGGGTTTAGTGAATATCCGTACTGGGGTTCTATATGCGTGTTGAACAAACACACCTCCATCGTCTAGGATGCCGGTTTTGGCTAGCGAATCTCGTAGTTTCATTTGACACAGGTTGTGGATATCTAAACTCCAATATATAGCTTGGAGGGCATTCTCAAGACATTAAGAATGCTGTTTCGTGAACTCGAATCGTTACCAAGAGCTACTGAGTCTAAAAAAATTAAAGATGATGCAGAGTTAACAGCAGAGACGTGGAAGGTTAATAGTGCTTAGAGTTGCAAGGTCAGTTGATACTTCCTGGCTTTTAACACCACAAAAGGTTATTTCTTCTTGAAGTATCTGAAAGAGAAATTTTATTAGTAGTAGTTACGTGTGATGGCTGAGTTCACGGAACATCTGCTTGAGACTGGTTACACACAGGTTTTTTGTGAAGTTCGAAATTTTACTTCGACTGACTTAAATCCAGCTAGAAAACCCATATCGAATCAGAAGAAAAATCGAAACACGCTCAGCAACCTTGTGCGCGTTTGACCAGTAGATAGTAAGCCACACCTATTGTATGAGGGCTAATGATATCATCTAGCTGCCTAAACCTCGGCGGGTAAAGCGATATCTGAACTCGTGAACTACCTAAACCAATGAGCCAGAGAACAGTACTGTGGGTCATCCACAGCCATCATCATACTGCTGCATAGCTCTCGTTCAACCAATAGTACGAATAGGCCCTCAAACAGCCATCATAGCGTAGGTATTTACATTATAACGGTAACTGCCTCCTATCTTACCACTAATCAGCAAACCTTCATGGTATGACAGGACTTTAAGGAACAAATGTTCATACTAGCATAGCTTGTAGAGTCATAGTAATACCCAAGCCTGACAATCACATGAAGGTAGTAGTTATCAGTCAGTCTTATACTTTCACTTCTGTGGAAACACTCTCCATCATATGAATGTAGTAATCAAAATGTGCTATGTACAAACGCACGCAATTGTAAACAAAAGGTGTAATTCGATATAAAACACCAGTTAATGCCTAAACAGACTGTTCGTCAGCAGGAATGGTCACACTAAAAAAAGTGCAATGATTGTGTCAAGCATTCTAACAAAATAGGAGCAAGGAAAGTCATCCAAAAAAACCTGAAGTAGGTAAGTAGAGAAGACTGACAATCTGATATCCTATGAAGAAAACACAAGCTACTTACGTCATATATAACTGCAGCGTTTCGAACATCGCGTTGGATGATTGCTTTACTAGCAGCAGCCACCGGCATTTCACTTGTAACTCCACCCGCCACTAAAGCAGCAGCTCTTGGACCAAGTACTTTGACCAAACCCTCATCACGAACTCTTCTAGCCTCGTCCCACGTGAGACCATCTAGTAATCGAGACTGGGGTCCAGCAGTATTGGTATCATGGTAATACTTCGCCTTAACCTTTCAGAAAAATAAAAATGCTTATTTAATGCTTTTCAATCGCATAAGAGAATATTTTCGAACTAAACCCGCTACTAAAGACTACGCATATCTACGATCTAATTGTTTTGGTTAAAATTCAAATTTGATTAGTTTGCCTTTAAGATCCTTGTTGACTGAGAACAACTCGGGTATCGTGTTCAAAGTTGAACCCAAGTACTAAAACACACGTATACACTTTGGATTACTGACACCTTTCTTGTTTGAACTTGTGTAGGACAGAAGAGTTAGAGCTGGAGTTCCATAATTCTTGTCTAAACACGTTTGATTTCACAATCTACAAAGATTACAACTAGCAAGTATATATATATATATATATATATATATATATATATATATATATATATATAGAAAAAACCATGTTAGAACAAACATGCTATTAATACAAAAAATACATACGGATCGCTATAGCTGAAATAAAACCCTAATTGTAGTGGTATCTTGATCGATTTCATTCCAGTCACCCACTGTCTGATCAATGATTCCTTTTCTTGTCATTACGTAATTGGGTAGATGGTTAGTGTCATGAAGACGATAGAGAGATTAAGACATGAAATAGCTGTGTATGCTGACATATTTCATATCAGTACATTGAAGTAAAAGTCCAAAAGCAAGCAGTCAATGAGGTGAAAATAATAATTCCAACAGCCTTAAAGATAGGACGTCGATCTAAGTGAGATACTGTGGTGTATTTTGAACCACATCGCCTAAGTTCTCAAACCAACGATTGCAGCTATTTGATAAACGGTAATTAGTAAACTTGAGTTTTTCTTCCTGATTGAGATAGAGATTTTTATACTAGGTGGTGATTGAAAGTGAAATGGGGATTTCGACCGTGGTCAGATTCCAACCAGCGACCACCCAGTTTCTGGACGGATACTCTACTAACTGAGCCACGAAGTCATACTGCTAATTAGATATTTACTTCACCTTTTCAATCATCAAGGATTTTGCCAGACTACCATGTGAATTCATGACGCGTTACTACCGCTCGATTGTATTTACACTACCTACTTAGTCAGGACTTCACATCCTAATCTAATTCTAACTGAATTAGAGAGGCGAAGCAGCATCATATTGATTATCATTTTGACTATCTGAGATAGCCATGGTTTAGCAGACTAGTATTGATACTGGGTGATAATTGAAATTGAAATGAAATATTTGGACTGTAGATGATTCCTCTCTCTACTTCACTTAGATTTCGATTGGATAAGTCCTGACTAGGCAGCCAGTGTGAGTACAATCAAGCGATAGTAACACGTCACGAATTCATATGGTAGTCGGGCTGAACTCTTGGTGATTGAAGTAAAATAAAAATGTGATCAGCAGTCGGACCTCGTAGCTCAGTTGGTAGAGCACTGGTCCGAAAATTCGGTGGTCGCTAGTTCGAATCCGGTGGTGATCCAAATTTTCATTTCACTTTCAATCATCATCCAGTATAAATACTAGCCTGCCAAACCACGGCTATCTCAGATAGTCAAAATAATAAAATGGATTTTGTCGTGATATCTTCCTCTTATTTATACTACACTCAAGAATAGCTTGAGGTGACTGAAATGAGACAAAACTGGATAGTGGTGAGATCCAGTAGTTTAGACGACATCATTTTATTTCGAAGACATAGAGGTGTAAGTATAGAGATATAGCAAAACAACCTGTGGTTCTACAATAATCAAAATACACAACACACATCTACAGTGACACAGAAACAAGTGGTGTGTTATTCACAACTGTATACGCCCAAGGCATGAATACACCACAAGAAACAGATATTATTATGCGTACGATGTAGACAGATCTTGAGTTTGAAAAGGTATACACCTTACCTTCTTCTGTTGATCCCGGTATTCTTTTGGATTAGACCCTTGAGGTGCGAAAACATTGTAGGGTGAGAGGACTGAAGAAGTGCCGGTTGCCGGTCCACCTGTTGATCCAAGTGGCACTGCTCCATGAGTCAAAGGGTGAAACGGTGCTGGAGGAGGCAGAGCACCATTACATATAGCATTATGAACAGCTGCTTCTCGTTCGCAAACCCAATGAGCAACTGGCTGATGGCCAGGTGCAGGTTCAATCACTTCTTTAGTGTATTTGTTAGGCGTGTTAAACCATCGCTTTTCTGAAAATTCACGCCTTAGTGTTCTAAAAGTTTAAAAAATTGTATCTTTATCACATAAAATGATACACATATACTACAAAATATGAACTACTCCGAAAAACACCAGTTAAAGAAAATGCTGTTACACTAGAAGTGTGTCTAACTTCCAAACTGTGAAGTTTGTTTACGTACAACATAACACCTGCTCAGTATAAGGCTGTGATCTAGAGACGTAGGAACTCAAGTGTGAATCCCCACTTATAGGGCGTTATTTCTATGTATATGTGTTGAAAATCTAGATGTACATTTAGGTGTTTTGTTTAAAAACATTGGTTAAACAGAATGCTTGATTAAAACTCTATAGCACGAAGAATTTATTCAGTAAGCATCCACTTCACTTCCGACTGGTTGACCCCAAAGGTCACGGCTTCTCATTACAGCTTCCTGATATCCATGTGGAAGCAAGCATGATGAATACTACTTCAAAAATACATTACTGTATAGTGCTTATTAGTAATTTGCTTCCAGATGGATATCAGGAAGCCTTAATGAGAAGCCGTGACCTATGGGGTCAGCCAGTCCAAAATCTATTCATTGGAAAAGCCATTTATAAACATATTTGCTATAAAATAAGCTTATGCAGAAGAAAATGAACAGCACACCACCGTGCAATATAAGAGCGAATTGAACTAGTTAGACAGAACACTATTGTGCTGTTTATCATATTATATTCCGAATGAATAGTTTAAGACGCAATCACTATAATATTGCAATTGGATGGTAAAAGTATCCTCCCTCAGGTAAGAGAAATGATAAGAGATTTCAACTAGGAGACAATTTGCGAATCATCCCATGAAAAACTGAACTATTTGAACAATATATGGCATAACACAGAATAACTTCGGTTCAGACACTTCATACGATAGTCTATAGACAGTCCATGATCCTTGACTCAGAGACGATTGACAATTTGAGACGTCTATATTTTTATTGTTCACCTATCCATTATCCAGGTGAAATCAGCTGAGAAGATGGGCAGTGGATGCATTAAAAATAACTTTACCACTTGAATTGTAAAAAAGAAAAAACTTTCGAATTTTTATCCCCGTAACACAAAGTTTAGTTAGACCCAGATCACTACGTGATTTGACCCAATAATAAAATTAACTATACAGAGGTTAACAGTGACTAACTGCAGAACAATTTCGTTAGATTTTCGGTTCCCAAAGTAACTCCAATACCATGGGATCAAGAAAGTTGCCCTCTATGCAACTGATGATCTCTCATCTAAAAGAATTCACTTTGATCATCCTGATTACCCATAACTTTTTTTCAGTTATGAATTACAAAGAAAAGAAAGAAAACTTCGTGGGCAAAACGTTTATTAGATGAAAAATGATAATGTAAAACATCTCTCAACTATGTACTTACGATGCAGTGTTACATAACTAAGCAAAATATTTCTAAGTACTTAGTTCATCAATGCTACAGAACTATTGGAAAAAGTTTAACTAAAACAGCATTTGAGGATAACGATCTCAGTTGCCTTTTTGAAGATAAAACACAAACCCAAGTAGTATTATGTACAAATTAAAGAATGTTTAGACATTGAAATTGAGAATAATTATCGAAGTACTAAAAGTTCAACTTACGATGCTCTATGTGTATCAGTTTCATCCCCTGAAAGAACTCCATCATCATAATAGTAAGCCATTGTAGCAGTTATAGATGATGCAGACGGTGGAATTTGTATCTCATCTTCATGACTATTAGTCCCATGTCCATTCATAGTTTTGCTTTTACGAAATCGATGAGGGCTGGCCATAGCTTCCTAAAATATATAATACAATCATAAACAGTTTCTGAAGTATTGACAAGGCATAAAAATCACTTATATCGAAAGTATTCCCATTCATAAAGATCTTTTTCCTACTATTTTTTCTTTATATTCTCCTACTATTTGAACAACTAGACTAGAATACTAGGTAATGTGCTGATTTTGTCTTTTTGTATCTTAGAATGAATGTAATTCAGCCTGATACAAGCATTCATATACTAGGCTATGGAGTCACATACACATCATGTGAGGGTCCAGTTGCCTAGTTCGAGGTAGGTATGATTCAGAGGTTTAAGCACATGAATCTCGACGAATGAATTCCAACTCTTAACTTCATCCCACTTCAATCTGCACGACCAGGTAGTATCACAAATATGCTAGTATGGTAATCTTACTGGTTTCATAGTTAGATAGAACAGAAGATTCAGTCAGGTTCGGTATCAGTTTAAATTGGTCTGCATCTGATTATTACCAAGTAGGATAGTTTAATTACTCGAGAATTTAGACTTAATACGCAGCAGTTTCAACTGCTGCGCTACGCGTCAAGACACAAATTCATTATCTCATCATCATTATCAACATAGGACCAGGCATTACTGCGTAACGTTCCGAGTTGCCACACCTCACGTCAGTTCATCAAGTAGAAAGGTAGTGAGGTGAAGGATGAAGATAAGTGAATGCAGTCAAAAGAAATATAAAGTACGAGAAGAAAAGAAAGAGGAGTGATAAAATGGTGAGATTCGGTATAGTGTAGTTAAGATGATGATAATGTGTGTGGGGATACATCTGCGCCACTGACATCGGTTCTCAGCCATATCACCTAGAGTCTCCAACCACTGGTTCCTCTTGTCCCGCCGACCCCAACCACCTAGTCTGCATCGCCCCTACCCTACATGGATCAAACCAACAGTCAGAGACTTCAGACATTGGTGCCATGTTTTAGTCTGGCCACCTCGAGCCTTTTTTCAACCTGCACCCACCTCAGCCAACATTGTGTGACGAGGCAATCGGTGACTAGGCATACATAGTACGTGTCCCAACCATCTCAGTCGATGAAGGTTCACAACCTCGTCGACTGACTTACCTCTTCTCCCTAAAACTCTACATCTAACTTCTGTATTACTCACATGGTGACACCATGGTGTGCTGATATGAGGTGTGGCAACTCGGACCGTTACGCAGTAATGCCTGGTCCTATGTTGATAATGATGATGATGATGATGATGATGATGATGATGATGATGATGATGATGATGATGATGATGATGATGATGATGATGATGATGATGATGATGATGATGATGATGATGATGATGATGATGATGATGATGATGATGATGATGATGATGATGATGATGATGATGATGATGATGATGATGATGATGATGATGATGATGATGATGATGATGATGATGATGATGATGATGATGATGATGATGATGATGATGATGATGATGATGATGATGATGATGATGATGATGATGATGATGATGATGATGATGATGATGATGATGATGATGATGATGATGATGATGATGATGATGATGATGATGATGATGATGATGATGATGATGATGATGATGATGATGATGATGATGATGATGATGATGATGATGATGATGATGATGATGATGATGATGATGATGATGATGATGATGATGATGATGATGATGATGATGATGATGATGATGATGATGATGATGATGATGATGATGATGATGATGATGATGATGATGATGATGATGATGATGATGATGATGATGATGATGATGATGATGATGATGATGATGATGATGATGATGATGATGATGATGATGATGATGATGATGATGATGATGATGATGATGATGATGATGATGATGATGATGATGATGATGATGATGATGATGATGATGATGATGATGATGATGATGATGATGATGATGATGATGATGATGATGATGATGATGATGATGATGATGATGATGATGATGATGATGATGATGATGATGATGATGATGATGATGATGATGATGATGATGATGATGATGATGATGATGATGATGATGATGATGATGATGATGATGATGATGATGATGATGATGATGATGATGATGATGATGATGATGATGATGATGATGATGATGATGATGATGATGATGATGATGATGATGATGATGATGATGATGATGATGATGATGATGATGATGATGATGATGATGATGATGATGATGATGATGATGATGATGATGATGATGATGATGATGATGATGATGATGATGATGATGATGATGATGATGATGATGATGATGATGATGATGATGATGATGATGATGATGATGATGATGATGATGATGATGATGATGATGATGATGATGATGATGATGATGATGATGATGATGATGATGATGATGATGATGATGATGATGATGATGATGATGATGATGATGATGATGATGATGATGATGATGATGATGATGATGATGATGATGATGATGATGATGATGATGATGATGATGATGATGATGATGATGATGATGATGATGATGATGATGATGATGATGATGATGATGATGATGATGATGATGATGATGATGATGATGATGATGATGATGATGATGATGATGATGATGATGATGATGATGATGATGATGATGATGATGATGATGATGATGATGATGATGATGATGATGATGATGATGATGATGATGATGATGATGATGATGATGATGATGATGATGATGATGATGATGATGATGATGATGATGATGATGATGATGATGATGATGATGATGATGATGATGATGATGATGATGATGATGATGATGATGATGATGATGATGATGATGATGATGATGATGATGATGATGATGATGATGATGATGATGATGATGATGATGATGATGATGATGATGATGATGATGATGATGATGATGATGATGATGATGATGATGATGATGATGATGATGATGATGATGATGATGATGATGATGATGATGATGATGATGATGATGATGATGATGATGATGATGATGATGATGATGATGATGATGATGATGATGATGATGATGATGATGATGATGATGATGATGATGATGATGATGATGATGATGATGATGATGATGATGATGATGATGATGATGATGATGATGATGATGATGATGATGATGATGATGATGATGATGATGATGATGATGATGATGATGATGATGATGATGATGATGATGATGATGATGATGATGATGATGATGATGATGATGATGATGATGATGATGATGATGATGATGATGATGATGATGATGATGATGATGATGATGATGATGATGATGATGATGATGATGATGATGATGATGATGATGATGATGATGATGATGATGATGATGATGATGATGATGATGATGATGATGATGATGATGATGATGATGATGATGATGATGATGATGATGATGATGATGATGATGATGATGATGATGATGATGATGATGATGATGATGATGATGATGATGATGATGATGATGATGATGATGATGATGATGATGATGATGATGATGATGATGATGATGATGATGATGATGATGATGATGATGATGATGATGATGATGATGATGATGATGATGATGATGATGATGATGATGATGATGATGATGATGATGATGATGATGATGATGATGATGATGATGATGATGATGATGATGATGATGATGATGATGATGATGGTGACACCACGGAATACGTCCTATACTACGAAGGCAACGGTGGTCAAACACCTGAAGCCTTTTTATATCTTCCACTTTCAATGGCCATGTTTCACAGCCATACAGTAGAACAGAGCGGACTGCTGTGCAGTACACGCGACCCTTAATAGACAAACGAATATCACGGCGGCGCCATAGGTGGCGCAAATTGGCAAAAGCCAATCGAGCCTTTTGTATCCGTGCAGAAATCTCATCGGCAACTAACCCACCGGGTTGATCCTACTTCCCAGGTAAGTGAAGTGGTCAACACACTCAACCACTTCACTCTCTATTGTTAACCGCGGTACCGCTGAAGACCAGTCCTGGAGCAAAAATTTGCATTTGGGTGGTGAAAATCGCATCCCAAACATTCTCAAATTCCCACTCAAAGTGTTCAGAAGACTCTGCATCTTGTCAGCGTCTTCACCTAACAGGACTATGTCATCTGCATATTCTAGATCTAAAGAAAATTCACCTGTGATTGGGTCAACGTCTTTGTAATTAGGTGACGAGAGGGAAACCTCCATAAGAATATCTATGATAAAATTAAATAAGAATGGGGATAGTGGGCATCCTTGACGGACACCACTTGATGAGTATAGCTCCCTGGACAACTCACCATAGGCTCTAACATGCCCACAAGTGTTCGAGTAGAGAGCTTTCAATAAGGTGATGTACTTACTAGGCACGCCTTTCAGTGACAGACACTGCCATAAGACTTCTCGATCAACGGAGTCAAATGCCGCCTTCAGGTCGAGAAATACAGCTATTGTCGGGCGTCTGTAAGCATGCCTATGTTCCAGGACCTGGCGCAGTGTGAATATTTGGTCGATACATCCACGGCCAGGTCTAAAGCCTGCCTGGTTTTCTCGGGCTTGCTGTTCCCGAGCTCCACTCAGGCGTCGGAGAATTATAGAACTTAGGATCTTAGACACTATGTTTGTCAGGCTGATTCCTCTGTGGTTATCACAAGAGGACTTCTCGCCTTTCTTGAAGACTGGGATGATGAGTGACTTAGACCAGTCGGAGGGGATCGTATTTGATTCCCATATACTGGCTAACACTTCCGTTAGCCTGACTAAGAGAACTCTACCACCATTCTTGTATACCTCAGCAGGTAGTCCGTCTGGTCCTGCTGCCCTTCCCGTTTCAGGCTACCTACCGCTTTCTCAACTTCTTCTAGTGTTGGGGGACCTGTCTCTATGTCCCATTCAGGGTCCGACTGGATAGCGGGCAGCGCAATGGTGGCTGGAGGCCAGTTAAACTGTTCCTCAAAGTGTTCTGCCCATCGTCCCAGTCGCCTTCCCTGCGAGTGAATCGCCGATCCGTCCTTCTCCGCTATAACCTCACTAACTGTTGTTGACCATTTCCCCCCAGTCTCCTTAATAAGTCTAAATAACTGTCTACTGTTACCGATCGCCGCTGCCTTTTCCATCTCTTTAGCCTTTGCTGCCCACCACTGTTCACGATCGTTGCGCAGACTTTTCGTCAGTTTATTTTTAAGTTGCGCTCGCTCTTCATTGTACTCAGAGCCTGCAGGGATGCATTCACGTGCATCCATTAGTTTGGAAGAAGCTGCTGATATCCACTGGCTCTTTTTAGCCATTATCTTGGAGTCGGCTACAGTCTCCAGTGCTGCTTTTACAGTAGACTGAAGATGGCACCAAGCTTCTTCTGGATGAGTGACAGTCTTTTGTTCCGATAACTGCCTAGCCAACTTCTCACTGAACACGGCTTTGGTGTTTTCGTTGTCCAGCAGAACTCGTAGTGGTTTTGTTGCCAAATTTTTTCTACGTCCATTGAGACGCAGGCATATACGTGCTCGGACCAACGCATGATCGCTGTCCAAACACGTACTCCAGAAGGAGCGGCAGTCTTCCACCGATCCTCTCCAGCGATGACTAATAGCAATGTGGTCTATCTGTGTCCATCGCTGAGTCGAGCTCGGTGGACGCCAGGTCAGACAGTGCCTTTCTTTATGTCTGAAATTTGTGCTGGCTAAAAATAGGCGGTTATCTGAGCATAGTTGTAATAGGCGATCACCGTTATCTGTACGTTCAGCTGGGATTCCGAAAGTGCCACCTAAGTGCCTTTCTGCCTCACTCAGTCTACCCACCTGTGCGTTGAGGTCACCTGCAACAACCACTACGTCCGAACGTTTGGCTTTCGAGAGGAGGTTAGACAGTTTATGGTAGAACTCGTCCTTCACTTCATCCGAACTACAGTCAGTGGGTGCGTAAGCAGAGATTACAAAGAGACAACGGCGAGTCTCACTATTCCTTTTAGTTCTCACTGTGCCGTTCAGCCTCATAGCGCAGAGGCGACTATCAACTGGGATCCAGTCTAGTAGTGAGTTTTCTGCCCTGGTGCTTAATGCTATACCTACACCTGCAATCGAATCTCCAGAAACTCGAAGGGTGAATTTTGCAGATTCACCAGATTGGTCAGGAGAGGTCAGGTGAATAACCACACTTGGGTCCTGTATGCGTGTCTCACAAACACAGCACACATCCATGCCCGAGTTGCTAGAGTCTTTGCCAACGAAGCCTGTTGGCCAATTTGACGGAGGGTGCGGACATTGAAGGCTCCAATATGTAATTTGGAGCGTGGTTTAAGGAGACCAGGGATGCTGTTCTGTGGACTCAGATCGTTGTCGAAGGCTGCAGAGGTAGGAGAAATTGAAGATGATGCAGCATCATTAATTAAGAGACGTGAAGGAAGATTAGAAGGTAATGATGGAGGAGGAGGATAGCAGTCAGAAGAAACTTGAGTGATTATTGTCACCAGAGTTGACAAATTGGAATTCATAGCATAACATCCAGGCCTTAGTTATTAATTATCTACTCACTGTTTTATCAAAGGCTAAAACACAACTTCGAATACAACGATTAATCCACATCCATAGGCCAAGAATTAAATTCACTGCTTTTATGTCATACAACATAGAACACAGTTGCACCGTTAAGAAAGAAAAAAGGTAGGCAGGAAAGGTATGGGTATCATTTTTAGTGGAACACTCATCTATTCAGTTGAAATACTGATGTTTTAAAAACTATTCTTCTCAAAAAGTCACTGATAACTGGGGAAAAATTGCTGAAATACGCGTGAGGAAAACTCAGTAACCAAACTGTGGTAAATCCAAAAATAAGTTCAGTATTCTAATAAAGAAGGAAAAAGCTTAACGGTACCTGTCTGTAAAGATGACCTGTACGGCATCCAGCGTTGTCTAAATGACGCATCATAGCTTCGAATTCAAGTTCACCCAAACGCCAAGGTCTGGCTAAAGTATTTTCTGTGTTTGAACCGTCCGAAGTGAACCATTTGTTGCAGAATGTTGTCCTGTTTCCCCAGTATGAGATTTATTCGGTGAAGATAATCTCATTGCTAGTGCGGCTTCTGGTCCACTTAGACCACCCAACCCTGCTGTTCTCCATGTTTCATACGTTTTTTGCTTCAATTTATCTGTTGGTAAGATGAGATTTTCAGCACCAACCGAGGCCAATAACAGCTAAATAAGATATAATAAACTTCGGGAATGACAAATGAATAACTCAAACGGGAAACAACTATTTAAATTATTGACTCGAAAGATGATGTTACTCCCCTATAAAATATATGTGAAGAAGGTGGTGAGACGATAATGCTCGAAACTTTTTATTGTCACCTAGTTAAATAAAAACGTCAAATGAGTCCCATTGGCTACTGAAAAACATTCCTAACGTTTTAGATACACGAAAAGGATGGACTGAAAAGAACTTTGGTTGCAGTGTGATTAAAGTTTTTGATCTCTTGTATGCCGTCCATCAGTGTGTCACCTAAACCATGACATTCAGATTTCAGTCAGTTTCTAGTTTCTTTTGAATCCACCAATATTATACTTGATTATCAAGTGAGTAGAAATTGTTCTCTGTAGTCTAAGTTCGCTGTTACCTAATGTGATTCATTTTTCACAATAAACGAGTTCACAGGGTATGAAACGTGAAACAGAAAAACAGCCACTACTTCCCTTGCGACAAACAGCAAACTGGATGTGTTGAACACTCAGGCAACATGGTACAACATCGGTGTAACTGTTATCTTCAGTAGTAAGAATTGTTTTACTTAGCTAATATTTTTAAGCTAACATGAAATATGCGTATTATAAGACTTGTGAGAAAGGATTCATGTCTGTTATATGCGAAGTTTACTAAACGTCGCATACTTGGATGATGCATGCATACAGAACAAAAAGCGTGCTGCTAAAATGTACAACTGTGGTTCACCGTTACTGTACAAGTTTAGACTCTATTAAACCTATAGACATTTGAGCAGCCTTCAAAAACAAACCATTGTGTCATTCATCGCCTATCAAAAATATTTTTACTTTGTGGTTGAATTAAAATTTTCATTTTCTTTATGATTGAAATACTGTCAAAGAAGCGTTGTCCAAGGATGCAGTAAACATTAGCACAGTATCAATTTACGAATACCCACTTTGAGAAATGCAGATCCAACTTCATTTATCCGATGATAATAATAATGGCCACGGAACCTAAAGGTCCTGGGCTGGATCCCGGGGTGGGGCGGGTCATGAGTCAGCACTGCTGAGGAGTCCATACTACGACGAAACAGCTGTCTCGTGCTCCTAGGTTACCTATGTTCCTCAAGCTGATGTCAGTCCATGATGAATATCAGCTTAAAATCAACAAATCCCACAAACCCCCAAATCATGATAACTATGGAGAAATGGTACATTCTACAGCTATTCGCAGCTATTTAACATAGCCACTCAACTTCTGATCCCCATACTTACAATCTATTACATAAAAGTCCCTGTTTAAACGAGGGTATTTACAAACATATGGCGTGACTGAAACTAGCATTACTGTTAGTTGTAATGAAAAGTTGTGTTGTGATGGAATTTCACTTGTTAATAACCACTTTAACCATAAAGCGAAGTGTGCATGAAATAAGGGCTATATTCCCTAACTCTTGTAATGAATGAACGAAATGCACTCAGCACCCTTGCGTACATTCGTGCAGTACGGAATGAGCCACACATATTGTCTAAGAGCTAATCATACTACCTGGTTGCCAAAACATCGGTAGGTGCAGGGGGCCTCGACTCGCGACCCACTGGTTAAAAGTCGTTTCCCTAAACCAGTGAGGTCGAAGTGGACAATCAAGATCGGATGGATAGTTATAAATCCAAGAACAACAACTCTTAAACTGGGAGTAGGGCAAATTTCAACTTTCAAGTACTAGTACATAACACAACAGTAAAAGACTGACTACTACTCACCACACATACGATTAGTAGAGAACATTTTGTTATTTACACACACATTCTGTTACTTCATGTGTGAAGGTTGAATTGTTAAAAACTAACAAATCCATATGGATCGTACATCATTTGTCGTAGATATCGTTTAGACCACCACTAGAAGAGGTCGTCATTGACTGAACGGACGAAACAAAACGCACTTAGCCACCTTGTACACGTCCGTGCAGTAGGCAGTGAGCCACACCTATTATCTGAGGGCTAGTGATATTACCTGGGTGCCCAAACTCTGGTAGATGGAGCGGGGTTCGAACCTGTGACTCACCTGATTGATAATCATCTCTTTTAACCACTGAGCCACAGTCTCTTGTCACCGGTTACTGTTGTCGCACCAGTGAAAAGTGTATTCTAAGGAAAGCTGATGTCAGTAGACGTTAAATTTCAGTTAAGTCAATGACCGAATAAATGAACGATGAATGCAATTTAGAAATGATATGTAAGTTCATGCGTTGATGCTCAATACCACTATTACGCCATTCAGACCTTGTTGGGTAATTTGTGTTTCAAAACCATGACTTAACAAGAATTTGAAGCACAACTCAACGAAAATTTCTATGGATTATGGTCAAACATCGAAAAGTTCACCGTCTTGCATTTGGAAATCTATCTGATGTTTACTTTTTAAAAACTCAGTTTCTTATTATTATTTATTATTTGTGCCTTGGGTTCCTAGTGGAACATAGGGCTTCAGTAGCACGCCTCCAATCCACTCTGTTCTCTGAAATCCTTGGAACCTGGCTCCACGACAGTCCACAAACTCTCATTTCTTCCTCGCACCATCTCCTTTATATCACCCTCACCACGAATGCCCAACTCGTCGCTTCCCATCTGGCTTCCACCTGAGCGACTGGCCTGACGCGTTATGTCCCCAGTCGGCATTTTCAGTGTATGCCCAATCCATCACCACTTCCCTCTGCATATTTGTTGCGTGATAGGTTGTTGGTTGGTTCGTTGCCCACCACAGTGAGTTCCTTGTTGCTAATTCTTATTATTCTGGTCATCTGAGCTTCAGTATCCAGCCAGCGTAGGCAGTTGTTGATGAATATCTGTAGTTTGTTAGAAATTCCTTTCGTAACGCGCCAAGTCTCTCAACCATACAGAAGCACTGACTTCACGTTGGTGTTGTAAATCCGGATCTTGTTCCACATGCTGAATGCAGATCTCCACACTGGTTTCAGGTTAATCAACGCCTGTCTTGCTTTTCCGATCCTGACTTTGACGCGTTCGTCCGTGCCGCCTAGATAGGTGAAAGAGGCTACTTCTTTTAAGTTTCTCCCGTTGATGGTGATTGGAGCTTGTTGTTGCTGTTTTTGTTCGTTGGGTATCGTCATCACCTCTGTCTTCTCTACGTTTACTTTTTAAAGAGTCAGGTTCTTACTGAATGTTTTTCTCATAAACAGAATACTAACACTTCACAGGAATAATTTATATGAATAAGGAAAACTTGTGTCATACGAGGTGATTTTTAAAATTATTAAACAGGCTGCATAAAAACAATTTATCACACGAATATTCAAAGTAGTGCAAGAAAAATATAGAAATTTCTCACCTGAGTATCACAAGCCACAATTGCATTAGTTGCATAATGCCATGCCTCTTCTACAGTTTCACCTAAGGCAAGTAATCCTAAACTTCGTAGAAAAAGGATACGAGCAGTTGGACCTAGAGCTTCACTGACTGCTGTACATTCAGCTGCCCAGTCCTTAACATCACTAAAATCTCCATTCATATCGTTATTGATTCTACAGTTTAATCCACCACTAGGAGTATAATATGCAACTTCACCCAAAATCATTGCTTCGTTGCAAAGAGGCAATAAACCTGATTTCATACATGATACCTGAAAAGACAGAAGCATTATTAGTGATAAACTGTCCAGTGAAGTTGATTGGAATAAAAAGATAATAAGGTTGAAAGAAAAAACACACTGGACTTTGAATAAATGGAGTTAAATTCTGAGCACACTGATCACTGTTGTTCATTATATCGTGACTCATATAGTGGTGGTGGTGGTGTAAAGTTATCAACATTCGCTAGTGGTGGTTGGAGCATGTTTGACTGTTGTCTATTTTGAGGCATCACTGAAAACACAGACTACAACAATGAATGCTTTTTACACTTTTTACAGGAAAGTGATGAATACATCGAATGAGGTCTCTGTGATATAAAACTTGTTTATAATAAATGTGGATATAAACTGTTGTTTAACACTAGTTCATACAATCGATGAAAAACAACAGAAAAACTACCTACGTTGACCTACCCAATAAACCAGCTGAGTTTTACTACCGATCACTTACAAAGTATTTATCTACCGGGAGACAACAAAGTAACTGATACTGGGTGATAATTGAAGGTGAAATGAAAACTTAAATTGCGGCCGGATTCGAACCAGCGACCATTAGGTTGCCGGACTGATGCTCTACCAAATGACCGACGAGGTTCAACTCCTGACCACACTTTTACTTCACTTCAATCACCAAGAGCTCAGCCCGACTACCATGTGAATTCGTGACGTGTTACTATCGCTTGATTGTACTCACACTGGCTACCTGGTCAGAACTTTTTATCCCAATCGAAATGTAAGTGAAGTAAAGCATCCACGGTCCAAATATTTCATTTCACCTTCAATTATCACCCAGTATTAATACTAGTTTGACAAACAATGGCTATCTCAGTCAAAATGGTAAACAAGGTAACTATCGATCATAGAGTATTGGTTATTTTTAAGAAAGTTGTGAGGGAGGGTGTAATGCTAATATGATGTCTGACAAATATTAAAAATCCTTCCGCATAATGTACTGGACGATTGAACCAAACTGCATAACTTTCCGATTATTTCAAAAATGTGAATTACAAAAGTATTCAAAAAATGATTCTTACTGCAACAGTTGACGGAGTATCCAAATGTATGATACAACGAATGTCTGCTCGAGCTGAATGCACTGCAGAATGTAAAGCCCATGTTGCTTGGTTAACGCCTAATATAGTAGATCCTGGATCAAGTATGTGACCTATAAGATAAATAGATAATTACATATAATCTCATACAAGTTAAAGTGTTCAGTAGATTGAAAAGTGCCGAATATAACTGTTAGCATGTCGATGCATGGAAGGAAATAAACTCAGGACTCGGATGATAGATGTGTCTGATGATTTCGGGTTCTTATTGAAACTCATCATCGCCTCAAATATTAGGATGACATTCATCAGACTATTGAGTTATGCAACCATTTTCGAATTAGAGAGTTTGCAAAATAGTTGTTGTTGACTGCTTACCTTACCATTACTCAGTAGTTGTGTTTGATGAAATAAAGATGGTAGTAGACTTGTATATACTAAAAGTTTTCAAAGTTTGTTCTGCATACCTTTAGGCAACTTGAAATCATATAAAATTAGGAGTACCTTCAACAATTTAAAGCATCAACTGTACAGCAGATTATGAATGACACAAAGACAGTTCTCAGCGCCTAGTTATGTATCACCGAGTACTTTTAGAGTATTATTTTTTGTTAATTGACTCCACACTATCTTAACCTGTAGTTGATACGATTTCGTAGTTCACCTTATTCAAAGCCATATTTCTCACAGTCGTTGTGCTATAGAACAATAATGAAAACGTGATTTGCTTTCATCGACTAAATCATATTTTCAACGTAACCTGAAGCAGTATCATCGATAGTCATTGAGTTTTGAGGTTACTGAAATCCACCAGTACTAAATTTAATAAACCGTAACTTCAACTTTCCACTGTTTGGGGATTCAATTAGGTGGAAACCACAGTAAATGGACAACTTCTGATCAGAGACTTTAAAAGACCAATGTTTTCAGGACAAAAATCTCTTAGAAGTATACAGTCAATATCTGTGAACTTACCTTTGGAATTTACTTTGATAAGAGAAGAAGCAGTAATCTCATGATAAAGCAATCCAAAAGGATTCACCAGATAATGTTCATGATTGCGACTAACACATACCTGAAGAAAAGTGGGGAAGAGAGTTGGGTATACTAAAATGACTAGCACGAAATATTTACAGAAAGTTGAGCAAGACTCGAAAACAACTTATGTACTACAGTATAAAGACATCCTGCAGTAAAAGGTTGTACTATAAATATACAAAAGTCATGACTGCAGTAACTTCTGTTCAGCGAAGGACTTTGTACTTCATAAATAGAACATAGTCATGGTGTATCCCATGTTTGTGAGACAGACCCGCTGAGACCAAGGAACTTAATGGTTTAACATGTTATTGAACATAGTTTAAAATCGAAGTCAATGATGACAGAGTTGCAGCATTTTGCGGTTCACATGAACAATAGGACGAACCATAAGAAGAGTGAAGTCTTCTTTGATCCTTATGTATACTGCTTCTTATAATGTCACCTACCCACCCTACCCAAACTCCTCAATACTTTGCTGTTGTGTCAACCATGAAATGAATAATTTGCAAAATGAATGCAGAGGTAATGACCGACTAAAATAGCTGCATATCCTGGTAAATAACTGAAACACACTTTATTTACTGGATTGTTTACAAAGCATTCGGTTAAAAATGTAATTAAGGAATATGTTGGTAAACCAGGCATAATTCAAATCAAAAAGACTTTCATACCTAATGCAACTCAAAGTAAATGTTTATGCACTAAGTTATGAACCAGACGTACTCTATGAGGGTCTACGATACTACCTGATTACCCAGACCGACTAAGATGAAGTTGGAAATTTTATATTTATGACTTAAGAGTCGAATTCACATAAACCTATGAACCACCAACCCTAAGTTTCATATCCGAAACGAGATAAAGCAGCAGGAACTGACTTTTTATCCCCAGGAATCTTTCAACATATAAAGTTAAAGATTGTTGTTTGGACTAATGAAAGTAGCAGCTACTGGGTGAGAATCTGTGGAGATGAAGATCATTGACCTAAGCATTCAACTTCTGAGAAATGATTTTGAGTTCAAATTCTGCTCCACTTACTTCAACCTGGACATCCGGGTAGTATGACAAACCCTTATAGAATAAGTGTGGCTTATAGCCTAGTAAATAAATCTGTACCGGGTTGAGTAACATGAACCAGCAAATTAATGGGCATCAGAGGTAACTTATCAGACTGGTTTAGTTTATCATTCCAGTTAGTAAAACATCCTTTAGCGATAAACACAGGTGGCTAACAGTGTTTACGACCCTAGGAACTTACCACTTGGTGCATAACTGGAGCATGGCAACAACCAACACTGGCAAGCAAGGTTCTCAGGTCCAACGGATGCTTCAGTAATCATATTTATCCTTTCTAGGTACTGGAATACATGCATACTCACCAGCATCCATATTTCTTAACCTGAGGATAGTATTCGATTGATAGGCTTTGAGTCTGGCCGGTAAGAGAGTACTTGTGTGATAGAACCACAGAATGAGTTTTATATTGAAGTTAGATTTAGAGTAAAAGATAAAGAAGGTAGGTCAATCTGTGAAGTTGTACACCTTAAACATCTAGTGACTGGAATCCGCTGTGCATATTGAGTCCCCACCTGCTTATACACTTAATACTAGCTGGAGTAGAATTATGCTGGGAGAAAACTAAGAATGATCAAACCGCATAGTGAAACCAATATATTAAGTTACTAACTGTTGATCTGTCACACAGAAAAGTGATATGCCTCCCAACTCATCACAGTGATACAGTGTTTTGAACTGCAGTTCTGAACAACTCCTGAAACATCTTCCTTTTTTCTTTGGATACTTTTCTTGATTTCCTATGCAACTTCATCCGCTACCCCCCCCCCGCCAACTGTCAGGCTCATCCCTTATCATAGATTAAGCTGATCAAACAAATAGAATGGATAATAAGGGTACGTGATATTAACTTTGAAATAAGAATATAGCGACTCATTGGTCCAGAAAGTATTATCTAAAAAGAGACCGGGAGTGATTCATTGACTTTAGCATTCAGTTCCTAATCACTGGAGTCATATATTTAGACTCCGTTACGCCTAACATGCTTTCGACAACCAGCTAGTATCAATTAAACCATCACGTGAATCATATATGATGCATGAAGTTGCTGGCTTGTGTTATTCGAGAGCTACAATCACCACTAAGACTAGGTATATGCTTAAATACCGTCCATTAAGTAGCGCCGACAGAAAAATAGTGGATCAGAACGGGAAAACCTCAAGAATAAAATGTGTTACAACTTTACCAAATAGGTAAAGGTGGTAATCTTTGTTTACTAGTTTGGCAAAATATGAGGTAAAAATAACTTACAGTTACATGATTATATATACTAGAATTCCATCCAAAGAGGTCAATCAGACGATACACTGAAGCCAACTTGCAACGAAGAGAACGCTCACGACGAGAATAAACAGAAGCATCGCCACCACGCAAGTCATTTATAGGAATAACACCATTCCGATGCCCTGAATAAAAACAGTACAGTAAATTGAAAACCTCAAAACTTTATGGCTGGGAATATATACGTAATACTACGTCCACACAGTTAAAACCACTTTCGTATTTTTTAGACTTAAAAGGCAAGTGGCACAAGTGTGCTTACCACATAGTAGTTCTGAAAGAATATGGTGAGATTTGGATTCAAGCATCTTTAAGTTCAAATCAGACACAAACAATGACAAATGCGATTTATCATGGCCACAGATTTCCTTATGATCGTTGAAACCAAACCTAATTAAGGTAAGGGTCACCAGAAGCCAGATAGAAACTCAGTGAGCATTCAAATCAAGTAGAATCGAGAGTGGCTGAGGAAAACAGTAAAATTCAAACGCTGTTGCACTCTTCGCTTGTTTATACATATTTAATACCTCTTAGTTATACTACAGCAGACCGTAAAGAATCAAGACAAATATGAATACATTGATTTTTTGTCTTAGGTGTTTAGTGTACATTTAACGAGAGAGCGCACATAACCTACACCACAACAGCTTCAGTGGAATAACATGACATGCCAGTAATTACGTTGAGCCAAATATTTACAAGGATATTGGTATGCATAAAACTTAGGCACTGCAGCGGATTATAATTTGTTTATCAGAAGTATCATGGTACAATAGTATTGTTTACTGGACAGTGCAGTCTGCACGAAGATTGGAATGTAAAGAGACCGAGAGAGCACTAAACTGATATCACCAAACTGTTATTTATCTCGAGGAGTATTCTTGTACTACCTTATTCGATGCTTTCAGGCATAAAATATGACGAACATTTTTAACCTCTCTATACATGTCGAGAACCTTCAAAAAACAACCATAAGCATAAACCATTAAAATATGAGCAGGTCCGCGATAAATTCCTGTCGTACAAAACGAAGTGAAAACTGTGCATTATGGGACCAGTTAAGTTGGCTTACGTGAGAGTTCTTAAATGATAATATGTAATGGTCATTCAGCTAGAAATTTCAAATACATTCGGGTGGTTCCATGCTGAAATGTTTTGGTTTTATCTACAGCGAAAATCTCGCTAACCCTGCTTTCTTTCCCTCCTTAAATATTTCATGCATTAGGGAGTATCTCTATAGATAATATCAAACCTACACACAGTAAGTTTCGAATAAATGCATCAGCAAACATTTTGCAAGATACCGTCACGTGTCCCTTACGAGATGTAGAGTGAAATTTTCCAGCAAACCTGGGTGTCGTCATAAGAAACATTCGATAACTAACCAAAGAATTGCGCAATTGTTACCTCATGACTTAAAAACGTTCAGGTATCTAGGGTTTCACAGCATTTAATGTCATATGAGAATACTGAAGGATGCGTTGAAAAACGAAGAAACCAAAACCTGATGTGCTAAATGCAGAAGCATAGAAATTACCGTTTTAAGGAAGCATCTATAAAAAAATGGATACCTGTATTTTATCTCATGTTAAGTCACTTTTATTAAGAAGGATTTGACAGAACATAACACTTAAGTTGATATCAAGGTAAAAACTCACTTCAATACCGATTTTGAGACTAAAATGCTTACACAAAGCAACTAGTAACTACACTCGTAACTACTAAGGTCAACTTAATCATGCATATATCGGTCAGTGCGCATTAATATGGGACCAGGGCGATTACTGTGTAACAGTCCATGTTGCTACATCTCATATCAGTACATCAATATGGAAACAAAATGAAAGACAGAGAAATAAGGGAAAAAGTATTCAAAGCAGAGGAAAGTCGTGAAAAGAGAATGAGAAGGAATGAAACAATGTAGAAGCTAAGTGTACAGACTTAGATAAGGGCAATGTGTGGATGCATCTGCACCACTAAGCCACACCATTAACCAACGATTTCGGCTTCCTAGCGAACACTAGCCGGAAAGTCTATACTTCCCTGCATAGTTCAGATCAACGGTCAAAGATTTCATGCACTGATGCCATGTTTTAGTTTGGTCGCCTCCAATCTTTCTCCACGCTAAACCTACTTTATCAAGACAGAGGAAATTAACGCAAAACCTCGCACACACGTGCACTGGCTCAAGTTACCACGTTTCAGAGTAGTATACATAGAACAGGTGGGTGGAAAAAGTGACATCAAAGATAAAGTTGAGTAACTTAATGAACAATTTGAAGATAAAGGTTATTGCTAATATCCAAGCTTTAAAAGAGGTAGAGTGAATACATCTGCGCCATCGTGACAGACTTTCAGCCATGTCACCAAGAGTCCTGAACCACTCGTTCCTATCGTCTTGGAGACCCCAACATCTCCCCACACGCCTCAGACCAACAGTAAGGGACTAAATCGACTGGTGCCACATCTTGGTTTGTTTACCCTGAACCCTTTCCCAACTTAATTCAGCTTCCCCTAACATAATACGTCAAGGTAGGCGGTGGCTCGGCGAGTGCAACACATGTCCAAGCCATCTTAGCTGCTGAAGATTCACAATCTTATAGATCGGATTTCCTTCCTTGCCTACTACCTAGCATCTAACCTCAGCATCGCTCACACGGTGATTCCATCATACGCGAGCAATGCTCCAAAGACACCTGTGATCAAAAACCTGTAACCGCTTCATATATTCCACTCTTATCGGTCATGTCTTACAGCCATGAAATAGGATAGAACGAACTGCAGCGCATTTTATTCATCTTTAACAGGCAGTCAAATATCTCACCAGTCGGTGCCATAGATGATACAAGTTGGAGAATGCCCAAAAGGCCTCCTGTACCCAAGATGAGATTTTGTCAGCAACAAGCCCGCTCGGGCTGATGCAACTACCCAAATAAGTGAAGTAGTCGACACTAAACCACTTCACTACCTTTACTTAAAATAGGAGTAGTTGCGAACCAGTCGTGAAGCATTACATTGCACTACACAGGTTCAAAACTCATGCCAAACATACTCAGATTTCTGCTCAACGCGTTCACAACACCCTGCATTTTGTCAGTCTTCACCTACCCGAACAATATCATCTGCATACTCCAAGCCAACTCGATGACCTCCAGGGAGCAGATGAATCCTTGCGATGTCAAAGTACCTAAAGTTATGTTCATTAGAACATCTATAACGAAGTTGAACGGGAAGGCTGACAGTGGACATCCACCTAGTGGACACCACCATTTGTTGTCAATTCACACGGCAACTCTCCATAAGCCCTTACATAGCTGCGTGAGTTTGAGTAGAGTTTTGATTAGCGTTATATTCTTGCTCGGTACTCCCCTCACAGTCAGACACTGAGACATCTAACGGTCCATAGGGTTGAATTCTATCTTCAGGTCAAAAAAATATGACAGATATCACCTACCCGTAAGTACGTTTGTGTTTCAGAACCAGTCAGAGGATGAAAATCGGATCGATGCATCCTGTTCTAGGTCTGAAACATGTCTGGTTTTCTTGAGTTTGCTGTTGTTGAGCTTTAGCTAGGCGTGGAATAATTATGAACCTTAGGAGCTTGGATACAATATGTGATCTTCAGCAAATAGTGAACGGTGAGGCGGATGGTGACTAGACATGAGTAAAACATGTTCCAAACATCTAAGTCGATGAAAGTAAATAAACCAACACTAAATGATATACCTCTTCCACCTAAAATTCTACGCCTGATTTCTAAGTTAACAACGTCGTGGTAACACGACGTCGGGTTAGTGCTGTGAAAAGGCAATGATGGTTGAACGCTTGAAGCAGCCCCATACCCCTCACCGTTCCTTATCATGTCTCGCAGCCAGTTAGTAGAAAAGAGCAAACTGCAGCGCAGTACATTCTACACTCAATAGGTAATCAGATATCACGCTAGCACCACAAATGGAACAAAATAGCAAAAACCAAGCAAGCCTTCTCCATCTGATCCACTAAGGCTGATCCCATTTATTAACTGAGTGAAGAAGTCAACGTGCCTAACCACTCCACTTCCTATTCTTGGAAAAGATATTGACGCAAATCAGTCCTGGAACAACACTTTGCATTCGGAAAGTGAGAAGCGCATCCCAAACATTCTCAAATAGACATTAAAGATCTCCAGAAGACTGCATCTTGCCAATGTCTTCACTGAACAGGCCCGTGTCATCTGCGTAGTCACTTTATCTGGGAGTTCCTAGTGATATTTCTAGGAGCTCATCTAAGACCTTGACGAACACTCCTTATTTGTTACCTGGTCATAGGCTCCAACACGCCCGCAGGTGTTCAGAAGTGCGATGTACTTATCCAATACTCCGGATTGAAAAACACTGCCATAAGACCTCTCAATTTACAGAGTCAAATGCCACCTTCAGGTTCACCAGTACTGTTAGTATCGGGCATCGATGTGTGCCTGTGTCCTAGGACCTAACAGAAGGTGAACAACTAGTCAGTACAACACCCAAAACCAGGTTTGAAACCTACCTGCTATTTCGGACTCGTCCTTTTTTAACTTCGATCAGGCATCAAATGCTTATCAAACTTCCATTCTTATACCCGATGTTCATTAGACTCATTGTACTGCGGTTATCCCAAGATTTATCCTCTATTGAAGACTAGGACAAACGGTAACTGAGATCAGTCGAATGAAATAACAATAACTCGGGGTAATGCAAGTGAAATTCGATGTTACATATCGGCGATCAAATATACGGTTTCATCTATGTATACTGGTGAAAAGAAACACGTCAGATTTGTGGGATCCACATTTTAATAGCTTGAATCCCCAGTAAGTCTCACTACTGAGATGCTAATTCGTCAATACTGTCTTGAAGTCGTAAGTGGCAGTACATCGGGAAACTTTCGGTCACACCCAAAAGACGAGTCTTATAAACCGGTATCAGGAATTTTACTTGAACAGGAAAAGGCATTATGCAACTTGGTGGCAATAATCACTGTTGCCAGGTTTTACACTGAAACAAAACGCTGTTGTTCTTTAACTCCAAAGTTACCACATTTAAGATAAACGATGCAAATAAAAATGGTTGGTACTGGTCTGCAGTTCTGTAAGTTGAGTTTTTATTTAGGACAAGCCAATACAATCTGGAGGCCACCTCCACTTTAAAAAGAAACTAAATGAAATACAGGATCATAAACTAAACAAACATTTAGCATCTTAAGGGTCACCTCAACAGCAAGTTACAGAGAATGTTATGTAGCCCATACAATTTAATATCGATAGGGTAAAGTACCCCTAAACTAGGTGATGTACCTATAAACGTTTTACAGGACCACTCTAATGACTAACTCATATCAGGAAAGGTTAGTTTGGACAATGATGACAAGACAAATATATTACCTCAGTAAACAGAATAACTAAGCACAGGAAAAGACAGGATAAACTTACCTCTTGAGAACCCACCTCCGCTGACGGGTGGTCCAGATGGTGCTGAAGCAAATAAATCCGACAAATGCTGCAGTGACAGGAGGCTAGTGCTCATGCCAGGGTAGTCTCCAGATTGACATTGCGACCGAATAACTTCTTCCAGTTCGCGACGAAATGCATCCGATTTTAATATGCAAGATACCCGCCTACGCTGAATCATCAAGTTAACATCCTCCTTGATAGTAGCAGGACGCATCAAGCTTTTTTGATAATCCGGATCCTCAGGATCTGTATGGAGCTAGTTGAGCAAACACTAACTCACCAATCTTGTCTATGAATTTCTCAGGCTTATCTGACAAAGTGACACCATTACTACCAGGCATTCTTAATTCTTGACAGAGAAATATGTGTCAGCAACGATCTCCGGAAAGATAGGGAAGCTTCAATGACGAAACAATCTGACCAGACCGCCGAAACTGAGTGGCGCCATATACTTGGTCCCCAATGTCCAATATGTCTTACGATCTTGAATGAACTGGCTGACTTTTTCATTACGATCTCCAGGTCTTGCGGACCGGTTCCAGGTCACTAGTAAACCTGAAACGTGGTTTACTGACGGCCATTTTTATTGAGAGGGAGGCAATGAGTGAATGCAGTTCAAAACAGCAGTGGGATCAGAAGATAGTGTGGAGGCAACAGTGTTGGGTTGATGGGGTGTCACTTGGTTTCTTCCACCCGGTCCGCATTGCAACTGGATGACAGCAAGCCATATGTCACTAAGCGGCTGTCCAAACTTTCCTTCAAATGGTTGAAAATTAGAGCGGCGGCTGCCTCAGCAGACACTGAGTTCTCGTGATCGCACATCTATGGACACAAAAGTGCGGACGTACATGGGTTTTAATCCTTTGATAGGCAATTCTCATTCGGTTTTCATGAGGATCTCTGCGGCAATCATTCGGCAGTGTTTCATTGTTCCAGAAAATCGGATTAATCAGTATCTTGCGAGCAGTTACCAAGTCGCCATGTAACTTACGGCAACTTGGAGAGTAAAGGCCTAGGCCCTTTGTTCTATCCCCGTATGGTTTTTACCGTGTCCCTACAGCACCCTCTGGATATCACCTTTGGATTCTCTCCAGGGGATTGGTTCCTCTTTCCAGCTGTGGTGGTGTACGGGCGTTTTGAACCTCCATGTTAAGTAGCATGTAGGTCTTGCAAGGCTTCGTAAAGAGTTTCAGGGTGGTGGAACCTAGATGTCGCGCACGAGGTGTATTACTGGTCAAGCTATGTAGGTGTCTCTTGAATAAATTGAACTAGTGCCCAGCTTTCCGTGCAGTATTAGTCCCAGGTCTTCCTTCGCGTTCGTTTGACGGGGGTGCCTACCACAGGCAGAGTGGGACACTTTCTGTTGGTCGGGAGTATGGAAAAGCATGGATTGACATTTTTCCTGGAAGAATGTCATTCCGTCATAGTTCATCTGACCTTCAAGCATTCCAAGGCCACCCGATATGCACTTGATTCTCTCGCGGACATCAGGGTTCTCCGTAACCAAACGCCATCGGTATAAAGTAGAATCGGGGAGCTGAAGCTTGGTGGAAAATCAGTGGCGAAAAGGGTGAAAGTAGTAGACCCGGAACCGCTGCATTGATGATGTTCTTGTCATCACTTAGTGCTCCCTTTTGCTCAAGTTACCCCTAACGTGGTATCTTTCAGGCTTCCTATTCCTGTTACAGCACTGACAGAAGTGCAACAGGTCGGTGGTATCTCACGTTTGCCTGCTTTGTCCTATGAAGATGAGGGAGAGAATGCGGCATCCTTACTCCCCTGAGAGTTAACATTTTCCCGAGAGGTCTTGCAGACGACTACAGAGCAGGCATGATACAGTGTCGGCATGTTATTTCTAAGGAGAAAAGCAAGTGTTTTGACACCCTCGGGGTTTTCGCGCGCCCTCTTGAGAGCTTTTCAAGGACCAGGACAGGAGTTATCTGTAATCTGTGTGACTCCTCCATAAAGAGTAACGTTGCAGTCCGTTCAGGCCTTTGCTGCATATGGTTGGTGGGGCTAATAGCTTTGGCGTTCACTAGTTCTCAGAGGTTCTCTCCGTCTCGACCTTTCAAAACCCACTCCCTGGTCAGCAAATTTTCTCTCCGACATGGGTCTACGTAGGCCCATATGGTTTACCCTAAGCTCCTTGGCAAAGTTCGTCCGAAACGACCTTGATTCCTCCTTCACCTTGACACCGCACTGACTCCCGAGAACCGTATATACACTTTGTGCAGGGCCTTAAGCCTGAGTTTCAAGAGGCGCTCATTGCCCCTTTTTGGTTATGAGATCCACCTTCTTGCTGTTATTGCCCCTAGGAGAACATTTTTAAAGATTGCAGCCTTACTAGTTCCCAGTGATAGCCAACCGGCAAGGAGCTATGGTCAGGAGGCCATGGGACTGTCGACGAACATCGGTTCATTGCTACATAGTTGGCCTTGTGGCGGAAAAGACAAGGGCGAGATCCCTTTCACAAGAGTTATTCGCTAATTACAAGATCAAATTCTGTCTGGGTGGAGCAAACAAGTCGAGTCAGAATTTCAAGTCGTCTGGCCTCGGAGCATTCGACTCTGATTCTTGTTTTTGCTTCCTTTGAGTGAATATTAGACCTTAGTCACTGAACAATTTGCCTCCCTTCGCTGCCGTCTAACTTTTTCAGGAGGAGTGAGAGCAAAATATTAGTGGTTTCAGTTGGTTGGTAGTGAAACGAGAGCTGTGGACAAAATGGTCCCCGAGCCTAGAAGCAGTGAACCAAAGGTTCCTTTGGCTGTTAACCCGCGCCCAAATATGGAGAGTGAAAAAATGGTGGTCAAAGTGGGGAAAACTAGTAGGTCACAACTGAGCTCCCACCTGCATCAAAACTAAGTGTCCGATGGGCTTTCGAAGAACTGCGATGAAGAACCCTGGACATTGTGAAATTCGGCAGCGCTTTGGGAATAGGATTTTCCCCGATGTCCATCGCTCTATGTTCCGGGCTCATCCTTAGCTTCAGAGTTTTACTTTCAGTCTCATGTCATCGGAGAAAATAGGTATTTCAGAAGGAACCTACTGAAAAAACTCATCCCTGGTACTGAACCCCGAGCAACTACAATTCAGCATTATGTCTCTTCAGCGGAAAAAGAACCCAGTAGAACACCAAATAACAGCTATGACGATATGAGGACATCAGTCAGTGATCTGCGACTCGGCACCGATAAGCCTCAGTGGGTCGATGTTGCATTTGTGATTAGTTGAATCAAAGGCTTTGGAAAGTTTCAGACGACCAATATCGGTCCTGCCCAAGTGATCCACAATACCGGTCCACCCATCCACTGCGGTGAACTGGTTAGTAGTCCAAGAGAACGTCTTTCTAGACCCGTGTTGTGGGAGCATAAAGAAGTTGATCATCATGAAGTGGTCCCCCAGCCCTTTACAGATCGACAGCTCCATGACCTTGAGACATAGATGAAGAGGTTGCTGGTCGGCAGTCCCTTGAAAATTAATTTCGCGTGACCTGACAGCTGTGGACTGAACGCCTCTGTTTCGTTTGGGGAATCTCTAAGTAACCAACTTAAGGAATCGGTCAGGATTAGCGCTCTTCTTAAGGAACCCTCAAGTGGGTCCTGTTTGGTCCTGGAGAAGTTATCTTTGTGATTAGTGACAGTCCATGCTGTGCTAGCTCGACAATTAGGTCCACAACCCTGGGTCCTACTTGATTGGTTGCATATTCGGAAACTCCTGAGTGGGTGGCCGATGATCAGAAGATTTACAAAGACCGATAGGCTTGGAGTTCTGCTGCTTCATTGTCACTGTTATTCAACCCATGTGGTCTAAATAGTTATGAGGCCTCCACTCTGACCTTTCAGGATAATGCAGTATAGTGGAACAGGCTTCATGAGTTAGAAACAAGTATATTTGTAAACCTGACTCGGTTTCGTTGGTGAATGGCACTCAGTACGTTCGCGTGTACTTCCCCTATATTTTTTCGATACCATTCCTTTTTTGCTCGGTTCAAATGGGTCTCTAGCTCAAGCATTTCCCGGAAACAGTTGGCTGCTACTTTTGGTGGCTTATAAGGCAGTAGCCGACCACACAAACGATCTTGTCAACTATGAATCTCCGACAGGCAATCGCATCCTGGCATACATGTTTATCTTCCCAACCCATCTGTTCCGATGCCGTTTGAACAGCTGGTTTGTTCCGTCGCCCGAAGTTCCATGGACGCCAGTTGGAGGAACGGGTTAACTTGGTCATACAGGAATACCGGAAGCCGATAACAACGTGATCGCCCATACCCGAAAGAAGGAGGATTTCGGGGCTATCTGTCAAGAATTCTTCAATCGTGAAGATATTGTGTGACTAAGATGGGGTTTCAGGATTCTACACCACACTGCCAACCTCGCAGTTTCCGCCAGTCCCAATTCCTTAATAAGGCTGAAGGATCGGTCTCCAATAAAGTCGACACCTTAACTTAACGTATGACCCAAAAGTTGACCTCAGGCAGTTTAAAGTCTTGTGTGAGTAGAATGCATGTGCTGCGGTCTAAGAAACCATCTAACTCCCTCCAACATTTGCGTGGCATGCCGAACGTTTGCAGATGACTTCTTATGAGTGACCCTCACGAGGCATTTCGTAGCTTTGGATAGCTTTGTGAAGCTCACGGTAGACTCCTCAGGGTAGCCGATGACCAAGGATTTGAGGAACTTGAAGTCAAGAACTAATGCAAATTGCCATTTAACGCTTTGGGAACTCCCCTGTTGTTGCAAAACAACGATGTCTGGCAACGGCCGTCCTTACCGTCCAATTTCCTGGGTGAAGCCCAGGGCTTAGTGGCTGGGAACCTACCTACATGTGACCAATAATAATATATTTCGAATAACAAGTTATACGAATACATGCCACCTTACGGGCAATATCTGAACGTTATCGTTGCTGATGGTGGGGAGAAAATGTAAAAAGATTACATTGCCACACCATACATAGTCCGCTAGAACGCGGCTATCCCCATGCTGCTGATTACAAATATTAGATAATAACTCTCTTGCCACGCAACAATAGTGGACAGTAACACAGGCATTGTCACCAAGTGTGAGCTTTAACCAGGCAACTGCGATTAAGCTTCAAGACCTCAGTTAACGAGTCACGTAAACAGTAAAAGTACATAGAATAGTAAACGCCGAGCACAAACAAAGCTGAAAAATGGGAAGAGTCAACAAGTTTTTGCCATTTACAGGGAGCACTTAGAGCCAGATTCAAATACCGGTACGGACCGATGAAGAAGCCCGGGATCAGTATCGCACAGTGTCTTTATCGTTGGAAAACTCATAGGAACAAATTGAGCTAAGGTTGTAACTCACTCTAGAAA